TCGTTCTCCAGGAACCTAGTTGGTGTCGGCTGCCTCCAGGACCTTGGCGTCACCACTACGTTCCCTGGTCACGAGCGGTATGCTGTCTGTACTGAGGCCGCCACTGGTGCCCCCCTTACCACTTTCCCCCGGGACCCGGTGTCCGGCCTGTTCACACTTGACACCGCGCCGTCCCCGGCTGGGTCTTCCCCCCCGGTAGTTGCGTCCACCCAGGTTGCAGCCGCGTGCTCCTGTCGGTCCCTCACTCACCCGACTCTCCTTTGGCACCACCGCCTTGGTCACCCTGCACTCCCACGTCTGCGTCACATGTCCCAGCACGGTCTCGTCCTTGGTCTCCCCGGTTCGTTCCCCGAGTTTCCCTCCTCCCCCGCCCCACCGTGCACGCCTTGTGTCGAGGGCCAGCTCCGCCGTGCCCCTCACTCCTCCTCTTTTCCCCCTACCACCGCACCACTGCAGACTCTGCACATGGACGTCTGGGGCCCAGCCCCGGTCCATGGGCCGCGTCGCGAGCGCTTCTTCCTAGTGCTTGTCGACGACTTCACGCGCTACACCACCGTCTTCCCCCTGGAGCGGAAGGCCGACGTGCCTGACGTTCTCATCCCCTGGCTTGTCTCTGCTCGTGTCCACCGCGGTCTCCCTGCCTTGCGCCTTCACTCCGACCGGGGTGGCGAGTTTGCCTCAGGTGTCCTTGGTCGCTTCTGTCGTGCGGAGGGCATCACCCAGACGTTTACCCTGCCGGACTCCCCGCAGCAGAATGGGGTCGCTGAGCGACGCATCGGTTTGGTCATGGAGGTGGCTCGCACCTCCATGATCCACGCCGGTGCACCCCATTTTCTGTGGCCGTTCGCCGTGCGCTACGCCGCTCACCAGCTTAACCTGTGGCCGCACCCCCAGCGGCCGCAGGTTTCGCCGACCCTTCTGTGGACCGGGTCCCCTGGTGACGCGTCTGCGTTCCGCGTCTGGGGCTGCCTTGCTCACGTTCGTGCCTCTGGCACGGACAAGCTCACTGCCCGCACCCTCCCCTGCGTCTTCCTCGGTTTCCCCCTTGACGCGTCCGACTGACACTTCTACCACCCGCCGTCTCACCGCTTCTTTCACTCTCGCGACGTCACCTTTGACGAGTCCGTCTCCTTCTACCGCCGCTTTCCCCACCGTGGTCCCCCGGTTACTCCCCCCCTTTTCCTGGTTCCTCCCTCCCTGGTGGTCCCTGCCCCTCCCCCCCCCCCGCCCCCCCGTCCGGCCCCCTCTGGTGTGTCTCACGTCACCCCCCTCCCGTCGGTCGTCCCGGTCGACGAGTCTTCTGACTCTGGTAGTCCTCCGGCGCAGTCCTCGCCGTCTGTCCCTCCCCCGGTGTCTCCTCCTCCACCGCCTCCGCAGCCGCCGTCGCCGCAGCTGCTGCAGCCGTCGTCTCCACCGCCGCCGCCGTCGCAGCCGTCGCTGCAGCCGCCGCCGCCGCCGCCGCTGTCGTCGCTGCCGCCGTTTGTGGACTCTGGGGGTGTCCCTTCTGGGGGTGCAGGTGTGGAGGGTTCGGGAGGTAGCCGTCGCGCAGCTTGTGGCCCTGGTGTTGGTGTTGTGTCGCCGCAGCAGCAGTCCCCGCCTGTGTCCGCCCTCCGTCTGCTCAGCCTTCCGTCTCCTGACCCTGCGCCTGTTCCTCTCCTGCCGTCTCCCCCTCTTCCCGTCTACGGCCCCGTGTTCCCTCTGCCAGACTCGTCCCCGGCTCGTCTTCCCCCTCGTTCCCCTCCTGTGTCCCCTCCTCTGTCTCCTGACCCGACGCCGCCCTCACACGTCTGGTCTCGCCGCCCCTCTCGTGCTCGTCCTGTCTCCCCTGTCCCGCGCTCTCACCCTATGTTGCTCCGTTCCCACGCGTCTCGACCTCCCCTCCTCCCGTCTCCTCCTCCGTCTTCTCTTGTCGTTGCGTCTCCTCCTCTGTCCGACTCCTTTCGTGCCGCTCGTCCTCTTGTTCCTCGGGTCCTTGCCTCTCTCGTTACCGACCCGTCTGTTCCCGTGTCGAGTCTTGACGCCCTCGTCGCTGCGGTCGCTGACTTCGCCTCTACCCGCCGCCTTGACTACGCCACCGCTCTGGTCTCTCACCCTGCCTGTCCTCCGTCTGTCGGGGGTGCTCCTGCCCTCGGCAGTGACGTCCTGGAGGACCGCCAGTTTGAGCTTGCTTTCCTGTCCGAGGCTCCTCCCCATCTCTGTTCCATGCTGCTAGTCCCTGAGGGTGACCCAGACGCTTTCGACATCCCGACCCCTCGTACTTACGCTGAGGCGGTTTCGGGACCCTGGGCCTCTCAGTGGATAGCTGCCATGGAGCAGGAGATGGCATCTTGGAGATCCACCGGCACCTTCGTCGACGCAGTTCCCCCACCTGGGGTGAACGTGGTCGATGGCCGTTGGCTCTTCAAGGTGAAGCGCCCTCCTGGAGAGCCGCCTGTGTTCAAGGCGCGCTACGTGGCTAGAGGCTTCAGTCAGCGCGAGGGGGTGGACTTCTTTCAGACTTTCGCTCCTACCCCGAAGATGACTACTCTTCGGGTGCTGCTACACGTAGCGGCTCAGCGTGACTACGAGCTTCACTCCCTCGACTTCTCCACTGCCTTTCTTCAGGGCAGCCTTCACGAGCAGGTCTACCTGCGTCGCCCTCAGGGCTTTACTGGCACCTTCCCCCCTGGGACCCAGTGGCTTCTGCGGCGGCCAGTCTACGGACTGCGCCAGGCGCCTCGTGAGTGGCACGACACTTTGCGTGCTACCCTTGCTGACCTGCAGTTCTTTCCGTCTTCTGCAGACCCCTCGCTCTTCGTTCGTGCTGGCTCGACTCCGTTCTACATCCTCGTCTACGTAGACGACCTGGTCTTTGCCACTGCTGACAGGGACGCACTGGCCTCCGTGAAGGCAGAGCTGCTGAAGAGACACACCTGCACTGACCTTGGAGAGCTGCGCCGTTACCTTGGCTTGCAGATCTCCAGGGACAGAGCCGCGCGCACCATCACCCTGACTCAGTCACACTTGGTGCGCCAGGTCCTTCAGAGGTTCGGCCTTCAGTTCTCCTCCGCACAGCCCACCCCTCTTCCTCTGGACCACAGACTCTCCGCTCCAGTACCTGAGGAGTCGGTAGATCCCAGTGGTCCTTACGCTGAGCTAGTGGGTTGCCTCATGTACCTGATGACTTGCACTCGCCCAGATCTCGCATACCCTCTCAGCATCCTGGCTCGTTTCGTGGCCACAGGCAGGCACCGACCTCAGCACTGGTCTGCCGCTAAGAGGGTTTTGCGTTATCTTGCAAGTACATCGGGCATGGGGTTAGTGCTAGGCGGACGCAGGCCAGTGGTCCTTACTGGACACACAGACGCTTCTTGGGCAGACGACGCCGAGACGCTCAGGTCTTCCCAGGGCTACTGCTTTAGCCTTGGTTCAGGTGCTGTCTCGTGGAGAGCTACCCGCTCTTCGTCTGTTGCCCAGTCCAGCTGTGAGGCCGAGATCTACGCCGGTGCCATGGCGGCACAGGAGCTCCGCTGGCTGACCTTCTTGCTCACTGACTTAGGTGAGCGGCCTAGCTCTGCCCCGGTCCTGTACGCTGACAACAGGGCCATGATCCTCCTGTGTCAGGAGCCTCGACTCGAGGGCAGAGCGAAGCACATCCAGCTGCGGTACTTCCTCCTGCGTGAGCTACAGCAGCGTCGCCAGGCTCGCGTAGTACACTTAGCCTCCGGTGCCAACACAGCTGATATCTTTACGAAGGCGCTTGCGCCTAAAGATCATCAGCGGCACTGTGTGCAGCTTGGTCTGGTTCCTGTAGTCTCTCACTTACTCGGGCCTTGACTCTGTACTGTCCTATATATCTGTGTGTACACTCAGACTGGACTTGTGTCCTCTTACAGTGGTTGGACTAGTAGTGCCGCCCTGTACTAGTTCTTGCCTTGCCTGTACTCCTTCTGACTGGTCTTTTAGACCCTTGTCTCAGAGGCTGGACTAGTAGTGCCACCCTGAGCTGCTTGTCTAGAACATTCCCCTATGCAGTCCAGGGGGTGTGTCAAACATGTTTAGTTATCATGCTTGTATAGACTGTATAGGGTTATCTTCTAGAGAGTACAACATTTAGGTATATGTTTGTGTACTCTCTCTCTCTATTCATCAATTTCACTGTTTGTTACAAGGTATTGTACAGCGCAATTTCGACGCGAACTGGTTTAGTGCGGTTCAGAATGGTGCAACCCGAGGCTGAAAAGAGGCTCGCCTGATAAGGGGTTATAATAACACGCTCGTAGAGCATGTTCTTGTGGCCTCTTCCTAGCCAACCTCTTCCCAGACTCGCGCGCTACAGTGTCGCGTAATGTTGATGCGAAACGGTTTAGTGTGGTTTCGCGTGGTGTGACGCGAGATTGGGATTGTCGAGATTCAAATCTCGTTTCAGGCGCCAAAATTTCAGACGCGCGCGAATCTGTATAGTGCAATTTTGATTAGAGCTGATTCATTGCGGTGAAGAACGCGATTCTAAAACGAATTAGCTAGAAAAACGGTTCTTCAAACATGCTCTCAGGCGAGGGCGATTTTGGGAAGAGGTTGCCTGGGAAGAGGCTGGTAAGAGCACGCTCTTAGCCCTCCGCTTCATTTGTACTCGACACACTTTAAAGCCCCCATCTCATAATTACAAAGGTTTAACACTAGAAAGCGAACTGTTGCATCCGGATTGGAGGGCGAGGTACGAACACGAAAGGTTGTGACGAGAAAATTTGGCGACAAAAATTTCATCGCCAAATCAACCCAAACCTGAACCCGAACCAGGGGAGCACCTCAAACGTGCCCACCAGATCCCAAACCTACCATGCGACAACACTGAACCACGAGCCAATTCCAAAACCACGCCAGCGCCCAACCCCTGCTCTCACCTTACCCATAATACCGCACTTCCCAGTAGAAGCAACCAGCCCCACGGACCGTCAGCAGTACCACACCACTTGGTGCTGTGACCTGATTAGGTGCAGGGCAGTCAGACTAGCCGTCGCCTGGCACACCACCCCCAGCTCGCCCCACGGGAACCGAGCAACCGCCCTAGACGGCTGTGCTCAAGGCGGACCACGTACTAAGAGGTACGTCGGTAAGGAAACACGTACCACTGCCAGACTCAGTTTCGTGGACGAGGGAATTAGAGCTCCTCAGGTAGACCGCGACAGAAACTCATTACCGCCATTGAAACGCCCCGCCGCCATCGGAATGCGCGCCGGATGCGCGATGCCATTAAAACACGTGCCTGATGCACGAGGTTGCAGCATGGTCATACTATCCTCGCCACGAACCCTGCATCCGAACGCCGGGACACCGACTGTGCGGGCGGGATGTGAATGGCCTCTCACGCGACCGCCAATGATCTATTCTGGTCAATCCGGCCTGCCGTAGACGTCGACGGACGCACAGAACCGCCGTGATCTATCCCGCGAGCCGCGCCACACCTACCACGTCACGCCTCACTGCCCGCGTCAGAGACGCGAGCAGTTGCAGCGGGTGAGGCAGTCCGACCGTGCGCGCGACAAGGAGAGCTGTTAGGATCTTACGCGCCGGGAAGGTAGGGGAAGGGGAAGGGAGAGGAAGGGCGACATTTTGGAATAGATGGAGCGGGAAGGGGGGGAGCGACGAGCGAGAGGGGCATTGAGGGGAGAGACGGGGAGCGAGGGGAGGGAGAAGGGGAGAATGACGGAAAGAGGGCGGGAGAGGGGCGGATAGGGGGGGCGACAGGGAAATCGGGCGAACGATGGGGACAGGGCGATGGAGAGCGGGAGAGAGTGGGCAGAAGCGGGGGAGAGGGTGAGAAGGGAAGGGATTTAGGGTGGGAGAGACGGAGAGAGGCGCGCGGCAGGGAGAGCGGACACTCTAACCGTGGTGCCAGGTACATCGAACCTGTTGTGAGCCGCTTCGTTGTGGCGATTCCATCTGCCTCTTCTCTGGTTGTCTTCGCGTGCTCAAACCATGGGATTGCAACTGCTAAACCGGGAGCGTGATTTTGCATAAACGCAAAGGTAGCCTAGTGCATAGAACGCCAAAGGAGGCTAAACCGTCCGTCCACGGTTTGACCATGCATATGATGTGCAACATGTACTAGACTTGACTGCTAGGGTTTCTCTTGAAAGACCAACTTTTAGGCGGCTGGGTCGTCAAATCCCATGCGTGACTTGGCAATATTAGGTGACGTGCCCTAACTGGCGCATGTTTGCATCGGTGCGTTAGTCCGGTGCGTAACACTACCGATATTAGGTGAGGGGCCTACCTTGACGATATTTGGTGAGGTGCGAAGTCTGCTCGATGGAAGAACTAGGTGCGTATCGGTGTACGTTGTGCGCCTCGTTGTGTGGAGTGCACGCCTCTGGATGCAGGCCTGCTAGGGTACTTGGAGTTCTGTGCATTCCTAAGTTTCTCATAATTCAGCAGGTTGGTTTTACGGTTGGTTGTGTCGCCCCAGCAAAGTCACACATGCTGCAAATTGCGTTCGTGTGGTACATTTTTGTCGCCTGCCCCACCTGTTGGCCTGGGTGTCGCCTGTATTTTTGCAACCAGGTTTGGAGTTGTGGGCCAATGAGAGCACTCCCTCCCGAGCCTGGACTTTCGTGCACATCCATCTGGGTAACCCCCCCTCTCCAACCGTTTAACACTTGGTACCAGGCATAATTATGAGAGAGGGGCTTTAAAGCCCGAGTTCATACTGTGGAACCTTGGCCAATCTGCCATCAGCCCACTGCTGCAGAGGGGAGACTTGGCCAGAAGCGTGTATGCGACAGGCCCCAATAAACTAGCCTGCCCCTTCCTTGCCCGCTATCCCAGCAGCACCCGCTATTCCCCAAGCCCCCACCCCCCCACCCTCGAGTCCCTCACCCACTATTCCCTTGCCCGCACCCCCTTTGCCCACAGTTCCATCGCCCGCTTTTCCCTACCCCGCGCTTCCCATGCCCACAATTCCCCTGCCCGCTATTCCCTACCCCACGCTTCCCTTGCCCGCAATTCCCCCGCGCGCTATTCCCTACCTCGCGCTTCCCTTACCCGCAATTCCCTGCCCCGCGCATCCCTTGGTGGCAATTTTCTTTCCCGCTAGTCCCACCCCGTGATTCCCTTGACCGCAATACCATCGCCAGCTATTCCCTACCCCTCGCTTGCCTTGCCCGCAATTTTCTCTCCCGCTATTCCCTCCCCCGCGCTTCCGTTGACCGCAGTTCCCCCGCCTGCTATTCCACTGAAGTGGATGGGCGGTGGGAGAGAGCATACGCAGGGGGGTAGGAGGGGAATATGATATGTGGAAGAAGGGGAGAGGGGCGAGGGAACGAGTGAGGAAAGGGGGGGGGGGGGGGGGGGAGGAGGAGGGGGATGTGCGCGAGGGCAGGGGATAGCAAAAGGGTGATTATGGTGAGGAGGGGGAATGGGGTTAGAGAGCCACGATGAAAGAGGGGGAAATCATAGGGGGGCCGATAAGGGGTGCACAGAAAGGGCGAACAGGTGGATTGAACAGCGGTAAGGGCTGCTGACAGAGTGCAGGGGAGTGAGAGACAGGGATCTTTCAGGGTACGTTGAAGCATGGGGGACAAAGCAGAGGATCGGCTACCCTGGACAAAGGACTCCTCCCTCTCGCTCCACGCATGGCAAGGCGTTGGGCAACCCCCATACTAAGCGACATTGGGTGCACTCCCCCACGCCAAAGCGCATCAGGTGTGCCCCACGCTTGGCACATATTCTCAAACCAACGCACTCTGTGTCGTTTCCTCTGTCCTCCACTTTCCCTTCTCTCATGCCACCCTCCTTCTTCTCCACTGCTCCTCCTCTCCTCTCTCCTCTCCTCTCGTCTCCTCTCCTCTCCTCTCGTCACCTCTCCTCTCCTCTCCTCTCCTCTGATCTCTCCTCCTCTCCACGGCTCTGGGTTTAGGGTCCCCTCCGCTCTCCTCTCATCTCCTCCCGTCTACACTCCTCTCCTATGTTCTCCTCTGTTATCCTCTCCTCTCCTCTCCTCTCCTCTCATCTGTTCTCCTCTGCTCTCCTCGGTTCTCCTCTCCTCTCCTCTCCTCTCCCCTCCTCTCCCTTGCTGTCGTCTCCTCTTCTCTGCTCTCCACTGCTCTCCTCTCCTCTCCTCTCCTCTCCTCTGCTCTCCTCTGTTCTACTCTCCTCTCTCTCCTCTCTTCTCCTCTCCTTTGCTGTTGTCTCCTCACCTCTCCTCTATTCTCCTCTGCTCTCCTGTGTTCACCTCTCCTCCCCTCTCCTCTCCTCCGCTCTCCTCTTCTCTCCTCTCCTCGTTTCTCTGCTCCACTCCTCTCCTCTCCTCTCCTCTCCTTTGCTGTCTTTTCTTCTCCTCTCCTCTCCTCTCCTCTCCTCTCCTATCCACTGTTCTCGTCTGTTCTCCTTTGCTCTCCTCTCCTCTGCCCTCCTCTGTTCTCATCTCAACTCCTCTCCTCTCCTCTCCTCTGTTCTCCTCTGTTCTCCTCTGCTCTCCTGTGTTCATCTCTCCTCCCCTCTCCTCTCCTCCGCTCTCCTCTTCTTTCCTCTCCTCGTTTCTCCTCTCCACTCCTCTCCTCTCCTCTCCTCTCCTCTCCTCTCCTTAGCTGTCTTTTCTTCTCCTCTCCTCTCCTCTCCTCTCCTCTCCTATCCACTGTTCTCCTCTGCTCTCCTCTCCTCTGCCCTCCTCTCTTCTCCTCTCATCTCCTGTCCTCTCCTCTCCTCTCCTCTCATCTGTTCTCCTCTGTTCTCCTCGGCTCTCTGTTTTCCTCTCCTCTCCACTCCTCTCCTCTCCTCTCCTCTCCTCTGATCTCCCCTGTTCTCCTCTCTTCTGCTCTGCACTCCTCTTCTCCCTTGTCCAAGTATCTCCATTCCACTCTTCTCCTCTCCTCTCCTCTCCTCCCCTCTACTTTGCTGTCATCTCCTCGCCTCTGCTCTCCACTGCTCTCATCTCCTCTCTTCTCCTCTCCTCCGTTCTCCTCCGTTCCCCCCCCCCCCTTCTCCCCCCCAATCTATTGACTTCCATGCCTGTCCAACCCAACCCTAGACCCTCTCTCCATTTCATCATCTCAAAGGCGATGCCCTGTTGTCTGTCCAAGAAATCCCGTGTGGTTTGCCGCGAATCTAAGTACTTCCCCCCTTCCCCCTTTACCCTCCCCCTAACCCCTGGGTAAAACAGCCTCCCAGCTCGGCCTGCCAAAGGAGATGTTCCGCTCTTCTTCCAAGACCATGACCCTGAGTCTGCCCGGCATAAGTGCTCAGTTCTGCAAGGGCCTCCAAAGAGACAGCAGTGGACAAAATAGCGATTCAGGGGTACTCTGTGCAGAGAAATATGGTTGGGTGCTGTTATAATCACAGTAGACTCAGATGTGCCTAAAATGAGAGATAGAGATCACAGCCGGATTTCCGTCAGACGGCTTCAAATATTGATAACGATCTGGTCTTTGACTCAAACGGTGATCTATAAAGTGGATCTGGAGCGCATTGCTGTCGCCTATCAGCAGCAAGTTGAATCATGAAATTTCATGAAGATTTGAGGACGATATGGCGGTTTGAATGGCAGGAGGTATAGCAGCCACTATAGTCTTAGAAGTACCGTAATCCCCCGTATATAACACCCGCCAAAATAGTCACTCCACGGGTGGTTTATGCGGGGGAGAGCTTTATCAGAATTGAAAATTGAATGGTTGGTAAAGTGAGAGTACACACAAATATACCTAAGTGTTGTACCCTCTAAGAGGTAACCCTATACAGTCTATACAAACATGACAAATGCAGATGTTTGACACACCCCCTAGACTGCATAGGGGAATACCCAAAACAAGCAGCTCAGGGCGGCACTACTAGTCCAACCTCTGAGACAAGGGTCTGAGAGACCAGTCAGAAGGAGTACAGACAAGGCAAGAACAAGACCAGGGCAGCACTACTAGTCCAGCCACTGGGAGAGGACACAAGTCCAGTCTGAGTATACATATAAAGGACAGTACAAGTCAAGGTCCTAGCAAGTGAGAAGCGACAGGAACTAGACCAAGCTGTACACAGTGCCGCTGATGATCTTTAGGCGCAAGCGCCTTCGTAAAGATATCAGCTGTGTTGGCACCTGAGGCCAAGTGTACTACGCGAGCCTGACGTCGCTGCTGTAGCTCACGCAGGAGGAAGTACCGCAGCTGAATGTGCTTCGCTCTGCCCTCGAGTCGAGGCTCCTGACACAGGAGGATCATGGCCCGGTTGTCAGCGAACAGGACCGGGGCAGAGCTAGGCCGCTCACCTAAGTCAGTGAGCAAGAAGGTCAGCCAGCGGAGCTCCTGTGCCGCCATGGCACCAGCGTAGATCTGAGCCTCACAGCTGGACTGTGCAACAGACGAGGAGCGAGTAGCTCTCCACGAGACGGCACCTGAGCCAAGGCTGAAGCAGTAGCCCTGGGTAGACCTGAGTGTCTCAGCGTCGTCTGCCCACGAAGCGTCTGTGTGTCCAGTGAGGACCACTGGCCTGCGTCCTCCAAGCACTAACCCCATGCCCGATGTATTAGCAAGATAACGCAGAACCCTCTTAGCGGCAGACCAGTGCTGCGGTCG